GGTGGTGTTGGTACTGGTGGTGCTGGTGGTGGTGGTGGTGGTGGTGGTGGTGGTGGTGGTGGTGGTGGTGGTGGTGGTGGTGGTGGTGGTGGTGGTGGTGGTGGTGGCGTGGTGGCGGGCGGATGGGCGCGCTAAAAAAAGGCCCGCGCTGGGGCGAGAACGCCATCCTGAACGACGGAGGCCAAACACCGATCCGAAAATGAGGCCCACGCTGCAGCGGGAGCACGATTCGGAACGATTCGGGAGCAGAAATGAGGTCGGCGCCTCAACGAGAGCAGCATTTTGGGGAAAAAATGACGCCAACGCCTCAGCGAGAGTCGTTTCCCAGGATTTCCCGGGCATCCTGTGTGTAAAAAAACAATACGCGGAGGGTGCGCGGCTATCACCCGGACGCCATCAGGGGAAGGATTCGGGAGCAGAAATGAGGCCGGCGCCTCAACGAGAGCAGCATTTTGGGGAAAAAATGACGCCGGCGCGAAAGCAGCATCAGCGAGAGTCGTTTCCCGGGATTTCCCGGGCATCCTGTGTGTAAAAAAACAATACGCGGAGGGTGCGCGGCTATCACCCGGACGCCATCAGGGGAAGAGGGAGAGTATATTCATATTGAATTATTGTGGAGAGCACGAACAACATGCCGCCCAGGCGTCAACCTGCCGACCTGGAGTGTCTGAACGGCGTCCGATTCACGCTCACGTGACGTGGCGGCGCGTTGGCTTCAACTCTGTCCAAAAATAAATTGCACACCGAGTCCGCATCTGAATTGTACTCACGGTACACGTGGTCAATGCGTACCTCGATGACGGACCGGAGATTTCGCAACCGCCGCAATGCGGCCAACTTGCGCTCGTAAGCCGGCCTCAGCGCTGTCGACGTGCATCTCCACCTGTAGCTGAGCTGACGGGCCACCAGCAGAAAATCTAGCAAGAAGCGGATCCGCAGAGCAGGGTTTATCAAAGCATGCTCAACGGAGAGCTGCACCCCTGCATGCTCTGCCTCGTTGTTGGTGGACCGAGGTGCACCCCGCAGCTCGCAACTACACGTCTGTCGCCGTCTTGAAAACGGACGCTGCCACACGATGCTCGGCGCGGCCCTGCGGCCCCTTGACGGCGGGCGGCCCCGTCGGAGGCATGCGCCACCCACCCCGTGTCAAATGTGGGCGCGACCCTCTCTCTTGCCCCGCGCCTCTCTGATCGCGTGAGCTCATGGGGGCCAGCAGCCAGTCATGGATCATCACTGAAGCGCCGCACGTGGCGAAGCATGTCGTCTTGAGAGAAGAATTGGCGGCCTTGCACGAGGAACCGACGCAGTCGTGCCATGGCACTTGTGAACGCCATCACCTGCTGGATTTCCGCGCCGCCCCCTAGTTGTGCTTGGAGCCACAGCTGTGAAACTGCCAACCGGGCATGCTCGGGAGACAAGTTGTTGCGCAGGGATTGCACGACCACGCAAGTGTCACGACGCGCAGCGCTATCGCTAGCAGGCGAATGGCAGGAAGGGCATGGTAACACGCCCCTGCCTGACACGGGTGCCGTGCGGCGCGTTGTCATCACACCGTTTGACAGCCCTCGCATGAGCGCAATCCGATGCTCGCCCGGCACAGTGGAGGGAATGCCGGACAAGGCGAACTGCACCGGCTGCCACCGCAGCCTTCGGGCAGCCAGACGGACCTGGACGAACTGCCGTGCAATGGGCATCTCAGCTGCGTGCATCCTCTGGTACAACAAACGGTAAAAACTGAACGCGCGAGCGCGCCCGACCGAACGGCTTTAGGTTTCTCGCAGAACCTCGGTCACTATGTACCCTGTGATGTTGTAAAACACATGGTATGATAAAGCAAAGGATGTCATTGGCCTGAGCCCGGCCACTGCTCCGACATTCCGCGCCCATGAATCAACCTGAAACGTGTCCAAGCACCCCGAGCCTTCCAGCCAGAGCGCCACGGCAATGAGATGCGCAACGTTCGCTAAGTAGGGATCGACGGCCTCGACCAACGTTTTGAACAAACCTTTCGCGTGGCAGAAGACAGGACATGGACACCAACGCACCCTCTCTAGGAATGACGATGCCATCTCTCGGATGCCATTCATGCCCCTGTCGTCCAGCAACGCATATTTGCTCACGTAAGACAGCAAAGGCCAACCAAACACGTTCCAATCCAGCGCGCGGGTGGCAAGACTCGCGCGCGCGCTCCTGAGGGCCGCCAGACGCGCCCAGAGCTAATTCAGCGGTTCTTGCACCACGTTTTTCACTGCGGTGTCCCAGCCAAACCAAAACCCGGAAAAGCTGCGCTTGCGAACGATGTGGGGAGTTGGCCGCAACTGAGCAAGCTGGTTGGTCTAGTCCTGGGCCAGGGCTCTGTTCGGGATCCAAACAGTCTTCTGTCCGTTAGTGGACTGCCCCGAAGCGCTCTCAAACTCATGAATGAGACCAACTGCCAACAGCAGGGAATCAGCGGCGCAAATGTCTGATTTCCAATCGTCGCAAGACCCCAAACCTCGGA